CGGATGATCGTTCCCTGCGTTCGTATGCGTCATCGCGCGGTGCGCCTCCCGGGCGCATCCACGAGGAAAACCGCCGTTGACATTTTTTCAAAGGAAATGTCGCGGGGCGTCGCAACAACAAAGCAGATGCATGCGTCTCGGCGGAGGACACCAATTTAGCAAAAGGCCGATGGGATGCGATCGGACGTCGGATGACGTCAACGATCCTCCGGCTGTATCACGCGTAGCCTCCCGAGAAGCCCTCGGCCGCTTTAATGCTTCCTCGCGCGCGTGATCAATAACAGTACGTCAAAGGTACGTAATGCACAATGTCCTTTAAAGACGATGAACCGACACGGCGGTCGTCCGCTGCTGAAGATTCGCGCCTTCTCGCCCTCCGCACGAGATCCGGTCACTGACCGCGCGAGAGATTAGCTCGTTTGGAAATGCGACTGAAATCCTTACGTGATAAAATATCTCGGAAAATATTTCGGGACGATAAAGAAATTGAATCTATATTTATAAATTTTCATTCGATAATCCACTCTTTCGAGAATTCTAAATTATTTGGATTCAATTTCGTGGATCCTTGATTTTAATAATAGATTTTAATAGAACGGAGATCGTTTCATTTTACGGTTTATTTTATTATTCGGATCTATTTTTCGATTCTGCGACCGACGTTTTTGAAGAGAGTTTTCGAAGTTCGTTCACGATCGGTTGAAAGAATTTGGATCAATTTCATGTACATGGAAAAAATTAGTTTTGCTGAAATATTTAAACATTTGATCAGATGCAGATCTGAAAATAATTATACTGGACCATTAAAATAATTATATGGGATGCTTAAATCTAATAAAAAAATATCAAAAACTTTTAATACTCTAATAATTATTTTAATGACCCAACAAAATTATTTTTGTCTGTTCAAATTTTTAGATACTTCAGCAAAATTGTTTTTCTCCTGCGCGATTTGAAAAAATTCATTTCTGCATTCATTTCGGCGAAGTGGAATAATTTAATTTTCAAAGTCACAGCGATTAACGCTTCGGATTAATTCAGAACGTAGGTTGTTCGTGGAATAGAGAGATGGAGGAACTCTTGATATCTTACTATTTTATCTGCGCGTGATCGTAAAGGCGCGATCATCACCGGCTCGCGCATTAGTCATCACGGCTGTAATTCACGCGACGCGCTATCGTGCACGGCTTTCGTCACCCTGTTACGGCGAGCTAGCGCATAATAACGGTCTCCATGCACAGTAACGATCGGGAATGTTGACCCTTAAAGACGAAAGATTAGCTCCGGACGTGAGACGAACCGGCCGTGTACGCGACGAATCGATTCTACATTTTTCGAATTCGCGAATTCCACGTAAAACAGAAAGGATGGAGAACGAGAGGAAAACTGCATTCTTTCGCAAATTAGATAAACACAATATTTCACATTTCGTTCTGCTTCCTTTTATAACATATTTTTTTTTTCGTTGCGTCCAAAAATATCGCGTAATCGAGATCTCTCGGTCGTTAATTTTTGCGCCAATCAATCGCGATGGTATACGAAGAATTGTGTTGTTAATAATTTTTTTTTTTTATTTTTTAAATTACAACCGCATCCGAGGAAAAATTGCATTTTCGGTCTCGTTCGGTTAATTCGATATCGCGAAGACGAATTCGGAGATCGCGTCCCACGGAATTAATCCCATCCTCGGAGAATCGATTTTGTTCGAGCCCGGTCCATTTGTTGTATCGGCTAGCGTTGAATAATTTACGCCTCATCCGCTTTAAGCGCGCGGAATCATCGCGCAACGTTATACAGCCCGGAGAGATGGTGCCTTCCGAGCCGTCTGGAACGTGCACAGATCAATATTCCACCACGTTGCGTTCCGCTCTCCTTCCTTCATCCCACCCACTCCAGCTGAATATTGGCATTGATTTTCATTCGGGAGGGCCGCCACCCCTGACAGACCCTGGGCGAATCACGTTAAGGTCGCTATATATTTTAAACTATATATATATATATATATATATATATATATTGT